GGCCAGAAGCTAAAAAATAAAAAAATGCATAATGAACGGAGGTCACAGGTGGTGCTGGAATGGCCATCACTCTAAATCAATTTTCCCGCGCGCGCGCGTGCTCCGGATTATCGGATTTATGCAATCCACGCACGAAGGACGCGAAAACGGCCTTGAGCAACAAACAAGCGAGCGCAAAATAACCCTTGGCCCCCGCGATGAGAAACGAGCTTCCTCCCGAGCTTGATTTATGTTCGTTTCTTCTTCTCTTCTCCCTTTTTTCTCGGGAGAAAAGTTTCAAGGCTCTCCAAGCCGGAAAACAAGCGTCACGACTCTCGCCGCTCGACGAATTCATTTTTCAAAACCTCTCCCCTTTTCGCGCTCGTCAACACTTGCAAGTACATTAGCGAACCTTCGACTTATTCCGCTCCCGAGAGAGTCCGATCCATAGGTTCCGTCCGTCGCTTCGCTTCCTCCTCTCCGCGAGTATATATATATATACTCCCGAGAGAGTCCGATCCANAAATAATAGTTATGAGAAAAACAAGTTACTTAGTCGCTTTTATGAATATATATATATATATAACTCCCTCATAGGTGACAGAGCGGGTGTAGCCGCGGGCAATTGATGACTCGGCCGACCCACTTTCGCCCCGTGGCCCAGATGCGAGGGCGTCCGCGCGTGCGTGTGCGAGGGACACCTCCACGTACGAGGTCCGTCTGCCTCGCTCACTTTCTCCCGTCGGACACGACACACCTACGCGGGAGGAGGGAATTGTTTCGAAGATGCATGGCTGCTGATACGTTAGCTTTATCAGCGGAATTACGGTGATTTATATCGTGGTGGCACCTCCCCCCTGGGGTACGTTGGCACTACTCCCTTTTTTCTTCTCGATTGCCCTCCGTATGTGTGTGTGTGTATGTATATATATATCGTGGAGGCGCGCGCGACTCTCCCGGGAGTAGGGTCCGATGGCGCGTGGCGCGTTTACTCCTTTCNTATATATATGCATGGTACCGATGATTTGGTATTGGCGAGGTGGCGTGAAAGTTTTTCGAAAGCCCGTACTTTTATTTTTCTATGGGCTGTGTAGAGTTTGAGAGTTGTAATGACCCAGTTGCTGGCGAGCTCGCGCGTTAAATTTCGAAATGAATAATCGCTGGGCTTGTTCACCTGGTGCTCTTTTTTTCACTTTTCATTCACGCCTGGGCTTTCATTTGGTGTTTACGTTCGTCATGCTTGGTCATTGAGTTGATGAAAATGTGTTTCTCCTTCGTTTCGATGAAGATCTGGTTTTGTCATTTGGCGTTCTCTCGGATGATGTTGTCCTTCTGAAAAATAATCACGGTGTTGTGCAGCCCACTAGTAATTTCGAGTTGTTTAAATGGACTAGAAAATTTAATGATTGCGTATATAGCTCGCGACGATTAAGTGATTGTTCGGTAAAACTGGTTCCTGGAGAACAGACTTTCTTCGAATTTCACTACTTATGTTCGTATTACTCTCGAACTTAATTGATGCATCTTAGCTATAGATGGTACGAGTGATGAAACATTGGTTTAAGATGAAACGGTGGTTGCCATGGGTACATTAATCTTAATTCATCTTACAAAGGTAATCACGAAAGACAAAAGAAAAAAACAGTTAATTTTGGAGACTACGAGCGCAAATGTCATTTCACTCCATAGTCACAGCAGTCTACCATAAGGATGATTTTCTAAAGTACAATAAATTTACGAGTTCGAATATGGTGTAAGCAACTTATGACTTTTCATTCTAATACCTATCAGAATTAATTATTTATCTTCATTTTTAACTTTTATATAAATTTGTATCCAAGCATCTAGTACTAATAAACTTTTACTTAAAAAACACAAAAGACAAATCCTATTTTCATTAAAAAAAAAAAAATTTATGACTTAAACATCGACTTACAGGGCTTGTAGGATCTAATTATAGATATTCAAATTTAGTTTCCTATATCTGAGAACCACCTTTTTATAGTTGGTTGGATAAAGATTTGTATCTCGAAACTCAATTACCACAGCAAGGTATAATGATTTCCATTTTTGACGAAGAAGTTAATGATATCAAAAATACTCACAATAATTCATAAAGCTGCCATTCTAAGAAACTACATGTTTTTACAAGAATCCTTGTTTCTAATGCTAAACATGAAGAGATTTAAAAATCTGTCCTCTTATTTACTCTTTGCGTATAAACTCTCGACCCCTTATTTTATTGTAATTACTGCGCATAATTTTTAATGAAAACATCACAACCTTTTTAAGTTCCATAAAATTATTCCATCCATTAACTCTGTATATAATTGTCTGCATATTTGTTCTTATTCACACATAAAATGAGCTTTGCATACTGTACATTAACATTATAAAATTATCTAGAAAATTTACTGATCGTTTTTTTTTGTTTCTCTATCCCATATGTCGACCAATATGTTTTGTTTTATGATTTTAATGCAAAAAAAAAACCCCCAGGTCTCTCTGCATTTCACGAATCTCTTTCTCATTTGGTGATTGATAACAATACTTATTTAAGCACGGTCAAGATGCAGTCCTTTACCATTTACTGTGATTACAACAGCGATGACGGGATCCTATTCCAACAGCTTAATTATTATTATCATACTTCTAACCATTTCTTTTATTTTAACCGATCATCGCTTAAATCTCGGTTCTGTTTCCTTAACCCAATTTTTTTGAAATTTATTCGCCTCTTAAGGAGGTTCCAGTGAGTAGGGATACCAACCCGCATCTTGGAGCCTTAATTTGCTCAAAAAACTTTGATAGTTGGCACCACTGCCACTTGACCAATTGTAAATAGAATATCGCAAAAAAATTTTCGATTATCTAAGTATATTTTTCACGACGGCATTTGAAAAATGAAGTTATAACCTACAACACATATATACTGATATCTGACACTTTCGGTTTGAGTTGCAAATTATTAATCTTAGTATACCAGCCATAAGGGCTCTAGTTAAAAAAGCAAGCTTCAAGCACGAATGTCTCAATATTTTGTCTGGTTAAGAATATAAAAAAGGGTACCCTTAGATTCAGCGTAATCTAAACTATTTAATGACGTATGTCTAATATGGCGACATTTGGACGCTGGAACATCCTTAAAACGCCCATATAATACGGTTATATCCCATAGATCTATCATTCTTCCTTTGTTTCCCAGTCTAACATCTTAATCCTGCATTTTTTGGTAATTATGTTCCAAAGAATTAGCTTAAAAATATTCAAACAATTAAACTGATAGAAATACGGTTTTAGCTTACATCTTGCTGAAAGTTCAAGCTTGGTTGAAATCTTGTCTCTTTGAGATGAGAGTAACCTTTTGCAAACATTAGAACTATTTTCTATCAAAGAAACAGTTATTTTAATGAAAATATAATTTTGTAAATGGGTATGCAAGCCCCACTAGTAGCTTAGGCTGTGATGAACTACGGGAGTTCTTGGCCACAATAAATAACTACTACGACTTCTCTTTTGACGAAAAAGTTAAAGGTATACTATTTATAACTCCAATTAGGGGTAAATGACCCAATTACTGCGCACTGAAATTTTTGATTGTACTAAATTTCTCATTTCTCAATGTTTTTCGATGTAAATTGAACCAGTTTTACTTAATCTTTATCTGCAGCATCTTGTGGGATTAAAACGACAAACATTTTTCTGTTGAGTAACTTTTTTTTTTTTTTAAATAATTGTTTTAGTGCTGATATCACTTGCTGGTATTACTGCGCACTGTTATAAAATTAGCACCAGTCGCTGCGCCCCCAATTACTGCGCGGGTATCTCCCATAAGGTTTCCATGCTGAAGCCCTAGACCCAATTGCTGCGCACCAATCACTACGCACGACTACAAAGTTTTGTAGGTTAGATTCGTTTAGAGTCACTCAGTTAAACAATTATAAATGTCATGATGTAAAGTATGATTCTGGATTGAACGTTATTAATGTCCGTACGTGTTACAATATCCAAGCACCCAAATTTTTCAGTCTGTTTTTCTTATTTTCAGTTACCGTCGAGTGCGCAGTAATTGGTGCCTGCGCAGTAATTGGGTCATTTACCCCTAGTCGTTACGCTGTTCGCAACTGTCATTTCAACGACTTCAGTACTCGTTTACACAAGCCTCATAAAACTGGAAATCTGGAAATCCCTACGTACTCACATCTCGTCGAAAATCAAAAAGAAAACAAACCTATAAAAATAGTAGATTCGTCACATAAGCACCATCGGGAATGTTCCTGGGCCCTAGGGATTATTGAAGGGCGTAGCAAACGTTCAAATTAAAAAAAAACCGCCCAAACTTGGAAAAGTAATATACGAAATGCTCCATGCCGAAATATTCACTAAGGATCGCAATAGAATTCTCGTTTTTTAAAAAAATACGACCATTAGCCACATCAGCAGCCACAGTGGCTCCAGACGACATACAAATCCCTCTGACGCGTACACTTTGGACACCACAGACTCGCAATTCGCACGAGAGAGTATATAGGTAATACTGGTAATAGATATAGCCGGGGCCGTATCTCTCTGGTGCGCACACGTCTGTTTCCTCCGCCTTTCCATCTGGCATCGCGTGCAGCGCGTCAGCGGAAGGAAAGTTTCCCCCTCCCTTCCACCTTTATGCAATCTTTCCATCTCACCCTATCCTTTCCCTCGTATATTTAGAGTAGGCATTGGAGGAGAAAGAGAGAAAGGCGCACGTCGTCAAAGTCGGAGAAACTTACTCTCTACCTATATATACCGCACAGTCTAGCGAGAGAAGACAAACGGAGTAAGGGAATCAGTATAGTGATAAAGGGAGGAGGGAGGGAGCGGCATTTGTGCGCCGATGTGGTACGACGGCGGCAGCGGCAGCGGCTGTAGTGGTCGCGGCGGTGGTAGTGGGGCAGACACGAGGGGGGAGTGAGAAAGAGAAAGAACCAGTCAAAGCAGACGGCCGCGACGGCGCAGTTGCGACAGTTGCGCTCCGACCGCTGGCACGTAAGGTCGTCACTGCGGTTGTTGGTGCCTGTCTGCGCTTTTCTCAGCGCTGCCGCGTGCGGTCTGGCCGATTCGTATACACACTTTGCAAGGAATCGAAGTGCGTGTTTGTGATCTGTTTTTTCTACCCAAGTGTACTACGTATCTCATTGAGTGTATCTTGTGTCCTCTGCAGTACTATAGTGCATTGATCAGTGATGAAGTGCAGACGAGTCGTCGCCGTTGCTGAGTAGTTATAAACGCAGCTTCAATGTAACCCCTTACCGCTTCACTAAACAGCGAGGCAAGTTCGTGCACGAAGTTGACGGAAAGAAAGGGGTTGAGCCCCTTGCAAGCGAGTACCGGTAAGATGAGCCCAGCCTCTCAAGGTGCCCTCGAGGTTGAACGCTACATCGGCAGCTGTCTGATAACATCGTCTGGAAGATCTGGCCTGCAAAAGTCTTTTCCTGGCTGTCACAAGCAGGAAATCGCCCTCAGGACGCCCAAACAACAACAGCAGCAGTTTCGACCATACGATCAGCAATGCGGTGGCGGTGGTGGCAACGGTGGAGGGCCATTCGGGGAAGTAGGTGCGTGGGCTGGTGGCATTCCGCTAATAAACATGTCCAATCCACGAAGAGTCAACAATAGCATTAACAACAACAACCAACAGCAACAATCCTTAATGTGCAATAGCAATCAGCAGGCAGTAAGTGAGCAGCAGCAGCATCACTTACAAAACCGCGTACCTTTATCAAGGCTCGCTGTGCACACTCAGGGAGCACCTCTCATACTGTCCGGTCGGTTTCATAACAATCGAAACAATAAGATGCACACCGACAGACAGAGTTCTAATGGTCTCATCAACAATAATAATAACAGCAACAGCAGTGCGCCAAAATGTCATCCGCAGTCGAAAGCGGGTGTTGGCAACAAGCCCACGATGCTTGAGCAAAGGAGACCACATCAGCAGCAACAGCAGTCTTTTTTAACTGGCAAACCGGCTGACGGGGCCAGCAGGGACGTGTCGACGGCTGGAACGACGACAGCAAACATCGACTCTCTGAGCATCGCGAGCGATGAGAGTTCGGGCTCGAACAACTCGGAGAATAGTTTGCCTCGGATCATAAAGCCGCGGAAGCGGAGAAAGAAGGATCGCAAGCCGCCGCTGGTCGCCGGCGTGGTCACCACTAGTGTTCCGGATATTAAGACAGGCGACGAGTTGACCGCTGCAGCGCAAACATCGACCAGCGTTATTTCAGAACATCAGCCACAACAGCAACAATCCCAGATAAAACCGTACCAAGCAAATGGGAACAACAATACGTACGATGGTAGCCGGTACTCTGGAGATAACTACTATAACAACAACAACAACAATAACAACAACAGAGGCTCCAGGCGCTCGATGAACAGTAACATGCGCGATACTGGTTACGCGAGGCCCCTGCACAACTCTGTGAGCAGCCTATCTTCGTCAAATAGCATAGTTCCAAAGTCGCAACCAGAGGTCATCGACACGAGGCAGCAACCGTTGCAGCAGCAACAGTCACAGCAAATGAGTGGAGGTGGTGGTGTCTACCCAGCCCATCGGCACGTACAGGTGAAAGTGTTGGACGATAACCGGAACGTGATTCCAGTCTGCCAGTCTGGCAAAACCAATTATCAATTGCGCCAGCCGCAGCAGCAGCAAAGATTCCTGCACGAGCATTGCACCGGAGAATCGGTGACACTAACCTGTCAACAAGAGTCCGCGCCATCCGACATGTGTCTACCCGGTGAGGAGTGCAGCTTACAGGGCGCTCTGTGCCAGTGCCGCTACTGTGACCCGGCCACCCTTATCTGGGACGTAAGCGGCCAGTATGAAATCGCTCCATCATCCCACCGACACCATCATCGTCACCATCATCATCATCACCACCATCGGTTCTCTCAGCTGCCAGCCACAGTATTTCTGGCCAGGCCGGTAATTTGCCAGGAGCATCCGAACGCTATTGACCTGATCGATGTGACCGACAACCCGTGTCTCCGACTCAGGCCAGATGGCTCGGCGATATTACGGCGCAGCTGGAGCGACCCAACGAGTTACTTCAGCGACGATGTCGCAGTGGTCCCGAGTCGTGACGTGGGAGTCATTGGCGACCGGGGTGGTGTGGCCCACGATTCGCTCAAAGGACGTAGTTCCTGGCGGGGAGACGCCTCAACCGCCCCAGCCAACTTGGCAGCGAGTCACTCCTCGTCGCCTTCGTCTAGCTCATCGTCGGGTTCTTCGGTGTCGTCGTTGGCGTCTGGATCGAGTGGTTGCTCGCCAAACAGTAGTCCTGGACTGCAAGGCCCCCTCGAGGTCTCCACGGAGATCGTTACATCACCGAACGGCCACCGTGACCTGGAAATTAAGTTCTACTCATCGTCGCCGACCACCTCGTACTATACCCCGTACTCCGGCTCGGGTGCCGAAGAAGTTGGCTACAAGGGCGCGTTTAGCTTTGGAACAGATGACGACGCGAGCAACGACTCGGAGGAGTTCAGCGACATTTGGAGTTACCACGAGTCCAAGCTCCAACAGGACTTTCGCACGCTGCTCCAAGCCGAGGAGTGATACTACAACGAAGAAGAATGGCAGTACTGAGCGGGGAGAAGACATAAAGGATAAACTGCTTTTATTTGCGAAAAAGTGACAAGAGTGAGTGAGTGACTGAGTGAGGGTGGCAGAGAGAAAGTGGGGAAGAGACTGTCGCTCTCTGGGCTTTCAAGTTGGAACAAATAGAAATTTAGGCAAACGACGATTCGAACACTGCTGTTTGCGTGTGCATGTATCTGTTTGTTGCGCAATGGTCTCGTTTTTATCTCACGTTGCGTCTCTCTTTTTTTTTATCCTCCCTTTTAGGCTCTTACGTACCGAGACAGTCGTAAACGAGTATCTATTCGTACGTGCGTGTCTATACGTGTTCGGACGAGTTTATCATATACCCGCAGGACCAACGAGCACTTTACGGGGGTTAATTAACTAGTGGCACTTTCGAGCGATCGGTTATCGTTCTTTCGAGGATGCGTGAACTGAACGACGAAAGATACACAACGATGTGTCTAATTTATTGATAAGATGGTTTCATTGTGTTTTACGTAACTTCTTCAATGGTCTAGTTGCGTAAGTTTTTTCCGCCCTAAGTATACGTACGACTCGATCGACGTGTGAGGTACTATCGAATTTTAAACGACAACAAGGTTACATTAATTGTTTGCTAAGTCAATGGTTTCGTTTGCTTCTGAAACTGCGTATACATGGAGTCTTGAACTTCCAGGACTAGCCCATATGCCCATGTAAGTGCAAGAAAGAGAATATGTGTTCTTGCTTCTTACTCGTACTCACACGGGCTTATGGCTAGTCCTGGAAGCTCAAGACTCCATGTATACGCAGCCTAATAAAAAAAAAAAAAAAAAAACTAACACGATAAAGGCAGAAAAACGAGGTTGGGTCGTACTGTTATTAAAACGGGAAAAAATTTGCACCATCGGCTAATCGATATCGCGCGAAACAATACAAGTTGTTGCATAATTGTATACATAGAAAACAAGAGAGATGTTGCTGTGAGAAGGAATGTATGAAAGGTTCAAATCGCATCCTCTCGTGTTCGTTCCTCGAATCGATGTACTGTGTGTATGCGTATGTCGAGGGGCTGAGAGCAGAGTAGAGTCGAGTGAGACGAAGAAAAAAAAAAGGCATTCACATTCGCGTGAACGGAAACAAGCACAAGCACGTTTTGTAAAGTAACAAAAAAGAGAGAGGGAGAGAATATCTTGAGTCGCTGCGGCTTCAACCTGCGCTTGAAGTCTTATTGAGTGTTGAAAAAAAATACAAGATTTGCCCACGCGCGCTTACGGAACCACGTGGTGATACGCGCACGAGAAAAAGAAAAGTGGAGGTAGCCGGTGCGAGTTTATTGCGTCAAAAGACGCTTAGGCGATATGCGCGCGGCCGGTCCGCGTTGGTTTTACTGGCCTTTTTTACTAACTTAACCTGCAGGCTTCCTTCTTCCTTCGAGCAACTCCACGGTTTCGGCGTGAATATACTCGTGTGCGAGTAGTTACATTGTGTATTTTTTTTTTTTTTTTTTTTTCACCAACTATTTCTAGCTAGACTTGCGATATTTTTTCTTTTGTTTGTTTTCTACGCGATTCAAAAAAAAAAAAGGTACTTGACAACTGAACTACCAAAAGCTCAATGACTGTGACTCGCATTGCAAAGTTAGACTAAACACGCGCGTGCTTGTCTTTTTTAATCGTTAACTAAGCTGGAGTCTCGTCGCGCGTGAAACTTTCTCTTCCACCCTCCTCGGTTTTGCTCGTACCGATTGTCTAGAGAAACGTGTTCCTCACAGCTGGCTTTTTTCTCTACTTTTCTAGATATTCTGTACTGACCCTCGTTCGCTGCTTGTGTTATTATTTTATTGACACACTTTTTTTCCAAAAAGCAAAAGATGGAACGTTAAAGTACGCCAAACGAGAGGCTGAAAATTCAAATCACGCCGATTTCGACTGCTTCACAAGTTCGGGCCACTTTTTGGTTGAACGAAAAATCGGCAATCGATCGCGAGCGAGTTCGCCAGAGCCATACGTAACCGAGGCGAGTAAGAAAGCTAAAAAAAAAAACGTAGTGTCGGTCGAGAGAGAAATGAAAAAAAAGACGGTCACGAGGCACGCGTGACTGGTGATTTGATTAGCGGCGCTGTACGCCACGTTTCTCGCGAAATATATCGATCGGGCGACGCTCGTCGGATTAAATGCCGAGATTGCCGAGGGAGTGGGTTGAGTGAAAAAGTTTTTTCTCCGGTTTTCGGTGAAATGTATACTCGTACGAGAGCAAGGGAGGCCGGTACGCGCGTTGGTACCAACGATTATTGCGTTGCGGCGTAGGTATCGATATGTCGGTAAAAACGTCGTTGAATTGGCACACGATGCAATAGACACCCAAGCGGCGCGAGTACGTGTTCGGAGGAGAAAGGAAATTGCGTGGTTGGAGGCTCTCGCGCGTCGTTGCGTTATTTATGCGCTCGGTTCTCAAGACCTCACGGAAGATTAATAAAATACCTGTAATCCGCACTCGAGAGCCTCGGCTTCAATGGCTTCCTTTCTTGAGTCGCTGGTTTCGTTTATTTTCCGAAGAAAGCGAGAAATTTCAATTGCTCGGAAATTCATTCGACGGACCGATCCTTCGCTTTCTTTGATTACGAATTTTCTACGCCCCGTTATGTTCGTCCCTGCGCCGCTGTACAGTTAGATATGTCCCGTTTTTTCGTGGCCGCGCACTTCGGTGTCTCTACATAATAAGTACTTACTGAGATCTTTTAAAGGCTTTCACACAACTTTTGTATCTTCAAATGACTTCAGAGTCATTGAGCGGTTTCTAAACTTTACATGACTTTTAATAAATACTCTAAAAGCCTTTCATTACTGATTTCGATGACTCGCAGTCTTCGTGCTGTGTTCTCAATTGTTGTACTAGTGGTCGTTACATTAAAATCAATCACGAGGCAAAAAGGATATTTTCAGGAAAAAGTAAAGAAAAAACGGTTCGATTCTTGTTATCAATATTTTAGCTGTTGTAATGTGAATGCAGTCAAGAGATTTATCGGAAATTAGATTTGTTCTAAAGCCATAGTTTGTTCGATCGAGTGAAGGTTTCTTTTTCTTTTATATTTATAGTTTTGTGTAGCGTCGATTTGCGAGCGTCACCGATAACTTACGAACTGCATTAGAATTCTGACGAGTACAACGCGCACTTTCTAATCGGCCAATGATAAGAAGCGCGGTCGCAAGTGCGCTTTCGTTATCGCTCGGATGATTGGTATTTCGCACTGGCCGCACTGCGCTGCCACTCTTTTCCGTGTTACGTGTTTGCTTCTTAACCGAACGAAACACGGGTTTTTACGTAATGATTGTTGTGCGATCGAAAACTCCCCTTTTTTATTGTGAAATTGGGAATGACTCTCAAAATTGATTTTCTGTTTAGTAATTCATTGCTACTCTCAGCGAAAAAATTGAATCTTTTCATTACTGCAAGACGTTGATCAACTAACTGGTGGTCTTTGCGGTGCGATCGAAAATTAGCATTTGGCGACGCAGATTGTACCACGCTCTTTGTTCGAAAATCCTAGTACGAGTTTCAAGGCTTCGAATTTTGTTTTAATTTCGCGCAGTACTATGAAAATAGGAATAAGTTATCCGAGAGATTTTTTAAAATTATTTTCTGCGTAAAGTGGCCAATAGTAATCCCGGGAAAGTAGGTAACCAGCGTCGTTACAACGGAATCGAACCCGTTTTGATGCTAAACTTTCGTTGCAACGGCTCTCGGTCGAACGCGCGTTCCATGAGCATTCGAATTTACGAAAGATGGCTCTACCGAGCGAAGGGGTCCAAAGAAAAGAAAATAAGCGCACGTGGGCGTCGAGAATGCAATAATCACTCGGACGTATTATATTCGTACTCCCATCGCAACGGGTACCGTTTCCCCCAAGTACAACCCTTTTTCTCTCTCTCTTTTCTGGTTCTTTGGCTCTTTGACTTTTGGTAATGAGCAAATAAAAAAATTATGATATAAAGGACCACATTGAGTACTCATGTAGATGCAAAAGAAAAAAATCGGAAACAATGCAACTCACGATTTTACAAAAAAAAAAAAAAAAATTCATATCAGTCACACAGTGTTAGCTGAAGCATCTGTGAACGGAAAACACGTTATCCGCGAGCCGGTCGTTAATCACGACAAAATTTATTTATCGCTCGATAAATAACATTGTAAAAATAACCCGAGTCGCAAATTGTCACTGGGATGCAAATAACACGCACACGCGCATAAATTCCATCGCAAACGCGAAAGCGTATTTACAGCGGGAGATTTCCATGTCGCCCAAGGCGAAAGAGCTTCGTTCGACACATGCGCATTATAATGCCGTTAAACGTTGTATACACGCATACCTGTATATAACACTGTAAATGTACGTGTACAAAACCCGAGGCTCGAAAGGAGCGAGGGAGGCCTCGCGCTCGAGAAAAAGTGAAAGTCCATTGTTGCTGTATACACATGCACGGCTGCTTCGGACGAACCTACCTGCTGTCGGGTGATTTTTGTTCGAGTCGCTTCATACACACGAGTCCTAAGAAATATACGCGTTGCTGGCAATCGAAAGAAATTAAAAGAAAAACAAAAATTGTCGCGCCTCGCTACGGTTATTCGTTTAACAATGGACGCTCGCTGTTTCTCAGAGAAAAAAAACTACCGTTGTTTTAGCGAACAAAAAAAAAGCTCGAACCCGCAGGCCGAAGGAGTGTAATTCGTGCGCGTGAATAAGTATTCGTTTTGACGAAAGCACGCGTTAGAGGAAAATATTTATTTGTTCGATTAAAAAGCGAGCGAGCCTGGACGTTGGTTCTGCCGTGCATATAGTTTGTACCAACGCGATCGTATTTTTCCGTATCTTCGCATCGAAACGAATATTTATTTGAATGGACGGCACAGCGTGGGATCCGTGTATGTGCGTGTGTGTGTTTCTGTGCGGGTTGAGATGAAAAATGAAAACGCGCCTCTAAGCGTGCAAATGAAGCTAGAGAGAGAAGAATCGTGATAAATATTCGCTCGCCCGCAAAATCGGGCGTGCAAACGGCTATATCGGTGGAGGGGGAAAGGAATAGAGGAAGGGTACTAAGAGTGAAACTGTTGTAAAAAAAAAAAATAAAATAAATGTAAAACAAAATGATGATATTGTACGGACCGCGATCGAATTATCGAGCGCGCTCTTCGATCGTGGCCCATCTCGCCCCACCTTTGTCCTCCCCCTCCCCTTGTACTGCGTAAAATGCGAATCGCGTGAAATTCGCTGTATCCGAGTCCTTTATTTACTTTGTAGTTGTGAGGGTGTTTTTTTTCCTGCTCTTTTGTAATTATTTTGTGCTCGAGTACGTATTTGTGCTTTGCGAGGCTCTTCTCTCAGCTGCTGTAATGACGATGATAATGATAATGACGAAAAAGTCAAATAAGTGAAGGAAAAAAAAAAAAAAAAAGTATTTGATGAAATAAATCGTACTGTTTGTAAATGCAAATCATCTTATCATTCAATTCATTCCTTTCTCCTGATCCTTTAACTCAATAACTTTGGAAAAAACATTATTTTTAAATTCACTGATTTTAATTATTCGTTGAACCTTTCATAGACAAAGCATAAAATCAAAGTAACTCGACGAACTTCTGTCGTTTAGCAGAACCTCATTCGAAGATTGCCAAGCTCCGATCTGTTTCACCTTGTGCACGTGCGAGAAGAAAATCACGTTTGGAAAATCGAAGCAGCTCTCCTCGAAAACTTTAAGGAAAAAAAAAACGCTAATACGCCATAACGTCACTTCCTCGAAAGTTAAAAAAGCACAAAGAAGCAATTACTCGCAGTGCGGG